ATAGCGAGACTATACAAATCTTGTATAGCGTTGGATGTACTGACCTAGCCTAATGCGCCGTCGACCCTGACGCGGTGCTCGGACGCGCGAATGACGAAACAAACTCGGCTGCGGCTATATGTATTATTATGTACATACCCGTCGACTGATTATCATGCGTTCGTTAATGCACTATACCTACGACGCATCTATGGCACTCCCGCCTTCTCCGCATCATTCGTCGTTCATTCGCCTATTGCGAAAAAAAAAAAAAAAAAAAAAAAAAGTCTGCCGACTCACGTGCAGCGCCGCGCGTCTAATCTTTTATACAACAAATGTGGACAATTTGGACTTGCTTGTCTCTCATACAAGAACCGAGTGTTACAGGCACTCGTTTATAAATTATGCCTCCAGGATGTGGAATGACTTACCCGTGGCGATCAGGGGGCTGGCCTATGGTCCCCGCTTCAGGACTCGTCTCCGAGAGCACCTCTTTCGCGGTGGCTCGACCCAGTAATTGCCCCGCCAGCTGATGACAACTGTACATTGTGTGTGCCTTTTAAAGCTTTGATCTTTACTTTTAATTTTGTAGTGGTCTATCTATGTTGACTGTTCACTTAAAATTGTTCGTTGTATTTCCATTTTATTTTATTTATCATACTTTACTTGACCATTACTGTTTTTATGAACTGTTTTTATTACATCAGTGTTGTTATTATGCACATTTTTTATCTTTTTATTTATTTGTATATTTTATTTTATTATCTCCTTGTTTTATATGATATTTTCTTTGAGCGTTACCTGTGATAGCTGTTTTTACACTTTCAACGCTTGTACAACAATGTATCTGCTGTAATTCATCATGTCAAGCACTATACAGGACCTCTGAGTCCTTAGTGCCGAATAAAGACTTACTTACTTACTTACTTACTTACTGTGTTATCTTATATCAATCAAGTTTGTGTGACGCATTCGAGCGTATTGCGCGTATATGTATATATATATTACAAATACCCCGAGTTGTTTTCAAAAGAAAGATGCAAAAATGCTTGGGAGGCTGCTGCGTCTTCGTTTTTTTTCCAATCGTGGGCTTATTTGTTTTGTTTTTATAGACAAAACTATTATACCTATACTTTTTTTTTTTTTTACCGGTAGATAAAGCGTTATCACAATGTAAATCGTTTATTTTTAGTACACAGTAATACGTTTGACTTTGATTCGAGCAGTAGGAGGTATCTTATCCTGTAGAGTATATAGAATATCTCTGTTATTGTTAGTGTTGATTTGTTTTTTTTCTTCATGCGGAAATGTGTTTTTGTACAATTTACGTGATTAATTAATTTTCAATAATGGTACCGAGCCATGATAAAAATTGATAGAATATCTGGCATTAGTTGAAACAAGTTTATACCGTAAAATGGATTTTGCGAAAACCCGAGGAATATGTTCAAAAATTGAGCACGCCTTTGATATTACAACCGAATGAATCCCAGCCTGTGCAGCTAGAAACAAGTTTTCTCTCTCGTAACTCTTATTGCTGTACATAATTCGATGGAGACGAAGTAGGAGGAAGAATGAGCAGCAGCAGCAGCAGAGGAATAATAACAATAAAAGTGGAGCCAGTCAACAGGCGGTTAACCATAATTGAATAGCCTTGAACCCCCCAGACATAGAGGGACATTGCGTCGGGTACCGGTACACGTATATATATATTTTTTTTTTCTCTCTTCAATATGCTTTCACTGCCAATTTCACCACTACGAGTCGCAAACACGATACGAACTGCACAGCAAGGTTATTTAATCCCGCGCGCGTAAACGATACCCTACCTAAACTGCGCCTCCGCGTACAAAATGATCATTCACCTCGTACATCATTCATTCGACGCACGGATCATGTGCAGAAACAATGACTTTTGTTCACTCTTTTTTTTTTTCCCCCTTCCCACACGACCTACTGCCGAAGAACGAAGATCACGAAGGAAAAGAAAAAAAAATGATAATAAATTACCGGTAACTACATGGCAAAGAAATCGGTCGATTTCGCGGTCGAAGGAGTACGTACACGCCGCAGCGAGCAAGCTAATAGCACGAGAGCACCCACGCGTAGGGGCGCCGACGCGAGAGAGACGATACACGGGACTCTCTGTTGTAGGTACTGCTACATTATTGCGCGCGCGAACGAAAAATTGCCATCAAACGCGATTAATTCACAAGTGACACGGTATAGCAGATAAGTCGCGGACAGCGGGGATGGCGTCCAGGACTCTGGGACAACGGGGGATAAGCCGCGTTTTGTATATACGCAAGCGATACTCGTACGGGTGGTATAGGTATAGAGTCACCCCTGGAGACGCGCGGTACAGGAAATGCAGGGAAAGTCAAGGCCGAAGCGGCGGCTATAGCCCCACGAAGCAGCAGACGCGGGGGAGTAGAAATCGAGTTGGCCGCCCCCTGCTCGGGCGTATTTGTGTGCGCGCGTGGGAGGGAGACGCGGTCGATATAATCGTCTGCGCCCGACGTTTGTGTTTATTTGTGTGTACGTGCGCGCCGAGAGGGGCTCGTCAGCTGCGCCACAACGATCCCTCCCTGAGCCCTCGCTGCGCCCACGTATATACATATATATACGCACCCGTGTAACTGCACACGACGACGCGTACCCTTTATACGTGTGTGTGTGTATATACACACACCCTCCGCCCGGCCCCAGACTTAAAGAGGATGTGCGTGCGTTGCAGCCGTGCTTCGCTCGTCACTGCACTCTGATTGCAAGCTCGAGGTATTAGTGACTTATACTGCACCCTCTCCGACAAGATGATGGTTCATCGGGGATGCAATGAGTCTCTGGAAATCTGTCGCCTCGCCTAACGATACAATAATGAAGTCCGAGTGTTTTCAGGTTCGCTTGACAATAACTGGCAGCACTTTTTTCACAACAAAAGCCCGCGGAGTCGAACCAAGTGTATATATAGATTTTTTTAAAAATATTTTACAGCCATTTTTTGAGAACTATGCCCTATAGGCTCTGCAATGCTGTGTTACTATGCATTTACATGCTATCGTCATTGGCATAGTAAAAAACCGCCTCAGATTTAATTGTGACATCAATCACTTACACAGCAAAGGGGACCTTATTTTACATGGCTTCCGAACCATTTGGCCACAGTTGGTAATACCTACGCACTTAAGAAATAAGTTTCTCAGAGGTGCGAGCCAAGTGTGTATATATAGATAAGCCAACAGTGGCTGTATCGACAGACTCCCATATATACGAATCACGGACTTTTCTTCGCGCCGTAGAAACAAAGAGCGCGACGGCGTCGCTTTAAAGCTGAACCGCTGCTGCTGAGTGTGTGTATGTACCTTTTATACGCCCGATGGATACGGCTCTTTGCACTGAGAGAAAAAAAAAATAATAATAAAAATTACCGTGCGATAATGGTAACCTGATGTCGTTTCGACGTCTAGGGACTTTTTACTCTTGCCAACCTCATTCATACTATTCTGGACGATAATTTCTTATGTACAAACGGTAAAAATCACTGTACTTACAACAAAAACGTTACTGTTCTAAACACTAAAAATTATTGTTCAAATAGTAAAAAATGTCTCTAGACGACCGAACACTACCAGATTACCGTTCTATAACAATGTAATTTTTATTATTTTTTACTCTCAGTGTATGATCTATTGCAAACGTACAAAAGAGGAAAAAACATTAAATGGAGAAATACGGAACGATATAGCTCCAGATGCCTATACAATTCGCCTTTTTTGTATAATGATAAAACTCAATTGGACACCGATAGTCCGCGCTGACTAAAGCACTCGGCGAGTGATAAATACTTGCTACATTACTATACACTTGGGTATTCGCTTCAAGTAAATGAGCGAGGCGAATCAAAGTTGGCTGTAGGCATGTGTATGTAATTTTATTATTATTGTAACCTGCGCGCCCGAGGTGACGCGCTTACAGTGTATAGACAAAAGTCCGCGTCTGACGCGATAGAGCACGTAACAGCGCCAATCTACATAATAGATGTATATGTGTACGCGTTAATGTTAATGAAATCGGAGTCTGCGGATTTTTTTTCTTTCCTTCTTCTTCCTCGAGTTGTTGTTTTTTTTTTTTTTTTTTTTTTTTTTTATTTGAAAGACGCGACTGCTGGGAATCTTAATTTTGCATTACGTCAAAGGACAAAGGCAGGGGAGCGGCAGTCGAGTTGGCCGAGCTCCAATACATGCTCGCGCTCCCGCGATGTAGGCGCGCGTACGTGCAAAAGCGATCGTACACATCATACGTTGTATACATACATTCAAGGGGCTTCGTAAGTCTATTCCGAGCACAGCGAGATTTTTTTTTTTTTTTTTCGACTCCACTACGTTTTCACTCTCCCGCAACGACATCGTCATCCGCTGCCTGTATTACTCGGGGCTGTATTTGATGAATTCTTTTTTTTTGTTTTTTTTATATGTATCCTATAATTAAACTCCACGAAGAAATTCGATTACTCAACTGCGGGGCTTTGATTGAACATTATCTTGGCAGTGGCCACCGTACCGGAGCTTCGACACCCGCAAGCTCGTAAATAACTCGGCACCTACGCAATTTTCGCAGAGCACTGCGAGGGAAAAACTTTGGCCCTACAGAATCCCTTGCTCGAGTGTGCGATGTTTCGGGATAGTTTCGCACAAATGGACAAAAGGGATAGTAAGTGTACTATACTATTACATGGCAAACGATGGTAAAATGATAAAAGTTAGGCTTGCAAAAAAAGGATACCCTTATAAGTACCGGAATTCCACTCAAGTTATGATTTTGCGTTATCCAATATCGTTAGTTTGGATATGTGTACGCAACTAAAATTTTTAATCCAAGACTAACAGATCCAACGTGCATTTTGTAAAAAGGCAACGTTTAATTATTTCACGAGTAAATGTCATGATACATATATAGGTGTGTCCAAGGGGGGGAAATTTTTTCTTTTGCATATTATCATTTTACAATTAATGGAAACTCACCTTGATGTGATAGGAGTTCAATTTGGTTCGTGGCAAGCTGTTAAACGCGCTAAAGTCCATGCGACGAGAAAATATTCCGTTCGCTCCACAGCTTTGCCTGAAAAACAAAATTTTCATCCATTACCAAATTTATCCTCCTCGTTACGATTTTTAGATTTCAATCTTATAACGATAACTATGTGTATCTGTTGAGGGAGATGATGCTGATTTCTTATCCTGATACGGATTACGCTACTCGATCGTTGACGGTAAAAGTTATCAACTCTACTTAAAGTTTAACTCCTAATTCAGTGATAGGACTGTTAAGAAATTTTTTCATCCCGGACGAAAAGGAGCGGTACTTAATCAGTAAGTGAAATGAAATTGTATGAATCATTGGTGATTCACAAGAGTTTACAGATTCATTTTTCTTCAACAATTTTATCCGATGCTTTTTTCACTTGAAATGTAAAGCAGTTACTGAATATTTTTAATGTAACTCTAATGATGACAACCGATGACAACTATGAGTTCATCGTGTTTTATATACTTTATCTAAGATGTTTCGTAACTTCTTTTGTTTCAACATTCAATGTAACGAAAACAATTAATCCAGCACAATTGACAAATACAAAAATTTTTTTTGTAGAAGTTAGGAAAAAATGTACTTCATCCAGTGTTTTTAAGAGAATTTGTACCTTCGATGCATGTATCGATGAGAACAGCGATTGTTGTCAAAAATCAGTATAGTTGGGATAGAACAAAAGGTAATGAATAAACCACGTGGATATTTATTTATGTCAAGAACGAAAGAAATTTATGAAGGAAAAAAATAAAAGAAAGAGAAAAAAAATCGAGGAAATGAGAAAACTACACAGTTGAAATGGATTTTGTGTTTACTGCGCATAACAGCCAAAAGAGTAGGTGTCTGTAGAAGGGGATGAGAGGGGGGAGTATAGGGTACAGCTGCGGTGACATTGGCCTTGATGGGCACGCATATATACGTTCTATTTGTGTGCGAGGCGTCATCGTATTATCAGGAGCCCGTGACTTTTCAGTTTCAGACCGAACAACGTCACCTTTTCGGGTCACAAAAATAAAACGCCAATTATGCACGGCCAGTTTTATTTAAACAATGAGTAAGAATCCCGCTGCCGAAATAATAATGTATTTTTCGTAACTTCTACGACACACGCGTTTTGGATCATGAGAAGAAAAAATAACCGGCATGTCGTTTGTCAAAATAATGCGAAGTCGCGTAAGCGCGTAAAAATAAGAAAAACGCGCGATTAACCGTATATTTTTAATAGGTTTGGCCTATTATCATCGTAGACAGTAAATTGAGATAAGTCACAATCGTAGTCTTGATGTATTTATCATCATCTTTTGAAAATTGAAAATTGCTTTTGAAAGAAAAAAAAAAAAAATCAAATGAATATAATCTATTGAATAACTATATGTTCAGTGTGTACCTTGTACGTGTGTAGATAAGCGTGTGAAATTAACAAGATTATCTTACACACAAAGAAACGTGGAAAAGTGCTTTGAATTGTATGTTAATTCGAGCTCGACCGCCAAGGCTAACGAGGAGTGTGGGTATCTATACTAACTTTGTTTATTCTTTAATTAGACGCGTACGAGACACAGGTTACAGCAGAAGCACGTGATAACACTTGAAAGAAAAAAAAAAAAAAGCTAATTCATGCAATGGATTGGTAAACCAAAATAAGAAACAAATTGACGGAAATAAGAGGAAAAAAAAAAAAAAAAAAAAAACAACATTACAGTACACCGTCATCTTTAAGATGTCCTTGGACAAAGTATGAGAGATGGAGTAGGACGAAAAGAGGGTTACAGACGTGCGAGCTAGGACGTAGTACATACATGGGCGAGTTCAAGGTCAGACATCGATGCCTCATCTCTTTCGATCAAGTCATACACACCCTCCTCCCCATTTGCGATGCCATATAGTTTTTACGCGTTGCTACAATATGCGTAGTAGGTACGTGCAACCCTTTTTTTAGTGATGCAGGATTGTATTTGTAAAAGTAACGATGGTTAAAAAAAAAAAAGCAAACTCGTTAGAAGTAGTAAGTAGGTACAGCGTACATAAGTGCTGGCTGAATAATGTGTAAGTAGGTATATGCAGGGGTACGAGTTGAAAAACACCGAAATCATGAGTAATAACAAGAGTGACAGTGCAGCAGCTGCACCGAGTGCAGATATAGTTTTAGTATTCGGGTGAAGAGAGTAGAGGAAGAAGAAGAAGAAGAAGAAGAAGGAAGGTATAGAGATATGGCGGGACACCCGAGTATGTATATATGTATATGTGTTATGACATAAGAGATGTGGCTTTCTGAATAACCCAGCGATAGCGTGCGTGGCGTCCAACCCAACCAACCATCTCTTGTACCAAGCAGCGGCTTCGCGTTGCATTCCCTGCGCTTTTCGGAGCAGAAGGACGGATGAAGGGTAGGCGAGGAGGGGGTTAGAATCAAAAGCGTGTGGGAACCGTGAAAGGCACAAACATTAATACCGTATCTATAATGGTACAAAGCAAGATCTTTGGGGGGACTACGAGGGGGAGTCAGTCATCATGGGACGACCTTGAGCGAGCCGGGCTTAGCATACGTATAGGGCCCTCTCAGCCGCCTGCATAGTTATATATGTGGGGGCCCCCTAATGCATATATAGAACTGCAGCACACCATACGTGCACGCCACGGTCAAGGCCGCGAAAGCCTCGAGAGAGCGCGTGTCCTGTGTTTTTTTTTCTCTCTCTCTCTCTCTCTCTCTTTCTCTTGCGACGCAGTGCAACGGAGAGGAAGGACTCGGCAAGTTCTGTTGCAGCTTGCGCGTTACTTTATCAACAGCGGACCCGAAAAAGCAGTCACCTCGCAATTATACCCGAGCGGTTCGAGAGGGCCTCCGATGCAAGAACTCGATTACGCGGACACACGCACACACATACACACACACATATGCGTTTTAGCGAACGATTCTTCGCTTGCGCCTATATAGGCATAGGTACATGTTGTAGTCTCCCCTCGTCGTGGCCATCGTGTAACCGGTCGTCTCGCCGCTTAAAAGGATACGCATATATATATATATACCCACGTAACGAGACAAAGACGAAAATAGCAGCCGGAGGAGACTCGGCAAGCCCTCTCGCTTTTTTAATACAATATACACACTCTCCTCTGCACGTGCAAAAATTTCGTGCAGTTTATATTTACATATTCGCGTGTTTGTGTAAGTATATACTTGTATATCCTTTGGTGGATTTCGGCAGTAGTGAATTTCACGAGAAGCGACTTTTTTCTTTGCACCTGATGCTATTAAATCCAAAGTCCATCAATCCTATAATATATAATATAATATATTATACGCACTCGGTGAGTTGGAACATTTGAATATACTTGGGGTGGAGGATACTGCACTTGTAATTTACGTGATTTCGAGAGACAAATGGAATAGTGGATGTCTCGTCCGGAGGGTAAAAAACAAAAGGCACCGTTGAGTTCTTAGTCAACAAACGATTACGATGGAGGAGAGAGAAATGCACCGATAACGGGTGTTTTTTTTTAATTATCATCGCAACGCCTTGGACGACAATAACATAACGAGAGCGTCCGGGAGGGGAAGGGGGAGCCGGCGAAAGAGAGATAAGTCCGACTTTTACGTGGGCTGGAGGACACATTATATTATATTGTGCCGGTTGATACAATTTATTGATACGGGCAATTTTATCGGGAGGCCGAAAGGATGAAAAAATATGCACCGGACTCGCCGAGAGAGTGCATCATGAGAGTGTGTGGTGTAGTCGGTGACGACGGCGGGAGAGTCCGGTTTGACGAGCTTTTCTCTCTCTTTCTCCGCCCGGCTAAAAATCGACTCGGGGCTTACGTGGTGAATATGTGTGTGCGCGTGTGTGTGTGTGTGTGTGCAGCGTTTGAGATGATGTCGGGCTGCACCCGCGCGCGCACAAAAACACGATGGTATATAATATATATGGCATAATGGCAACGCGGTATGCTGCACAACCATAAACACGACGGGTTTTCGAGACGAAGTAAGCACAAGTATACCAAGTATAGAAAAACAGCGCGTTTGAGTGTATTAATGGTACTGGTATATATACAGCCAACACAGTGCACGTACAAGTATATAGTACTATCAAGTACTCTTGCATCCTCTTTTACCGATACGCGGGTAGAGGGTGTGCACATGAGGAAATCCACAAAAAAATCCTGTTTTTGAGCCGCATTGTGATGAAAAAAAAAATTTTTTCGAGGCACAACTTCGAGGTAGAGCTCGTTTTACTTGGTAATTTCGTGTACCATGAGAGAGAAATTTTGAACAAGGGTAACACATTTTTTCCACGATTTACGTCTTAAAATTATACCTGTATATATGTGTGATGTGTACAGATATAATAACAGCATGTAAATCGCGGAAAAGGGGGGTGTACAAAAACGGGATACTTTTTGTGGATTTCCCCTCATACATGTGCGGGAGTTGGTTATGGTTACAAACCTACATAAAGCAGTGTATACGTGAAGTGGGTGGCTATATGCACGGTTTATATTGCAAACCATCCAGTTGTACAGTAGCTTTCGCGTCTTTTCCCAACGTCCCCGCGCCCACGTTGTCCCCCGCACTCAAACCTTTCCCGTATTTATACTCGCGTAGTTTCTCTTTTTCTCTCGCTCTCTCGTCTCCCAGCGCTTCGCAGTGCTTTCTGTATTCCATACTCACGTATAATACCTATCGAAACGATGCAGAGGCCACGAGTAGAAAAAATATGCTTACGAGAGCGTCCTTTCGCTCATATTGGTGAGGGTATGGCCACATGTACCGAGTGCGAGCAAAGGAGTATACCTATTTTTGTTTTTATGAGCCTTTATCAAAACAAACCAAGTAGGGATATCTTTACTTTTTTTTCTCAACAGTCTGGAGCAGCGCGAAAATGGGCCTGATTCTCTAAAATGTACCGATGCAGCGCGAAAAAGTGATGTCCATCGGCAACAGTAGCGTTTGAGATATATAACAGAGATTATGTGTATACGTGCACATGATCATGATTCACTCCATGGCACGAATATCACAGCTTGCAATTACCACGACGTTATACATACATAATATTTATAGAGTACCAGTGAATTGAGAGAATCGAGTCCCACCAGAGGCCGACAAAGCACTGGCTATTTATTCATGCGTTTGTACTCGTATCAAATTAATTATCAACGCAATTAATGTTTTCTATGACAGTTTTATTGCGCGTGCACGTATAACCTTACGCTTAGTGTATAATCTGCATGGCATCGCAACGAAATCCACCTGGCTCTTTGTCCCGCGTTTGCATTTGTCCGATGCAAGCTCGATGAGTCATGGAGATGCGTGTAGTCAATTTTTTAATGTAACTGATAAAAAATAATTACATTTGTTTATAGCGTGAGAAATTCCACGGAGATGAAATTCATTTCGGGGCGCTGATATCGGGTTTGAATATATTTATTGAGCACATATTTATCTCTGTAAATTAATTTCTTTTTTTTCTTTCTTTCTTTAATTTGAGAAGATCTTTTCAACGCGCGATCGACACGTTTTTTTTTTTTATCACGATAAGAAAGTATGTATGCATTTTGGGATAAATAATTTCAAAGCTTGTGTATTCGTTCGTCAATGAATTCGTATACGTTTAATTGACGATTAATCCAATTATTACTTTTATGATTAATTGAGATACACGTGGAGGCTGATAAAAATGCTTATTGGTTTTTCAATTTTTCTCCAAGGTTTTTTATTTTTCAAAATTATTATACTTTACTTAATTTTTTTACACTTAGATTCGAGCAAACTAATAATTCAATACGAAACTATTTAAAAAGATTTTAGTCATTACACAATACGACGTAAATTTTTTTTGGTTATTTTAAAAGAAAAATAAAAACATTTTCTGAGAAGCGTGCCTGATTAAAAACGTTTAAACTGTTGGTGGGGCTCAAAAATAGATTTTTATCCATACTTAGAAGTTTTCTTATATATATACAACAAAAAAAAAAAAAAAAAAACAACATTACAGTACACCGTCATCTTTAAGATGTCCTTGGACAAAGTATGAGAGATGGAGTAGGACGAAAAGAGGGTTACAGACGTGCGAGCTAGGACGTAGTACATACATGGGCGAGTTCAAGGTCAGACATCGATGCCTCATCTCTTTCGATCAAGTCATACACACCCTCCTCCCCATTTGCGATGCCATATAGTTTTTACGCGTTGCTACAATATGCGTAGTAGGTACGTGCAACCCTTTTTTTAGTGATGCAGGATTGTATTTGTAAAAGTAACGATGGTTAAAAAAAAAAAATTTTTTCTAATTATTTAGTCAGAGAATAATACATGTAAAAGTTTCAATTTTATTATACCTGTAAATAACTGTTAAAAAAAAAAAAAATTTTTTTTTCCAATGACATTGACCGATGATCCAAAAAAAAAAACTGTAGAAATAGTTTATGATACGTAACGATACTCTGACACACGTGATTTCATACTTTAAAAAGTAGTAACGAATTTTTTTCGCATTAATGAAACAGAATCTTTTGAAATGGTAAGAATGGTCGACAGAATAGTTTATAATACATTTTGAGATGTCATTATTGCTTTAGGTTAAGCAGAACACTATTTCCAAATTCAGAATATTTTTGAAGAAGCACGTAACTTTATGCTGCNATATATATATAAAATGCCTGTTCGCAGGGTCGAAAAACATGGGCATGTGTATATATTATGTACATGGAGGTACACGCGAGCTGGTGGTAAAGGTTGCGATCGAGACGAAAACAAATAAAATATCTTCGGTTCAAGGGAGACGGTGAGACTGAAGAAAAACATCAGCGTCGGATCAATAAGTAAGTGTATTGCGTTACTCGCGTGGGAGGTTTTATCTTCTTCGAAAGCACTGAAAAATAGGTGACAGGTGAGCCAATAAGTGAATAAACACGGACACCCGGAATTTTATGACAGAATCATACCATACACCAGCGCTGCGGCGATTGTTAACGTTTATCAAAGTCACGGAGTCAAGGGGTCAAGGATTTTTTTATACGAAACGACAAACAAACACCAACTTTGGCGAGTCGTTGTACCAAAAAAAAAAAAAAAAATTGAAACAATCGATTACTCTGGAAACTATTAGGCAATCGCGAGCAATCGTCGGATGCGTTATAAAAGACGATACAAGCATAATCAATAAAACGAACCTGATCCTATCGCCGAAGAACTCGACCTTGTTCCTCCTTTTGGAGCTGATCTGAGGCTGGTGCAGCGGACTGGTGCTGGTCTCGCTGGGCGGGGAGGTCGAGCCGGTGCTGGAGAGACTGCCGGCGCGGCAGCGCGCCTCGTTGCACTGCTGTTGTTGTTGTTGTTGCTTAAACATCGCGTGTTGTTGTTGTTGGCCCGGACTGATGATACAGGTCTGTAGCTGTTGTTGCCTCTGCCGGTTGCGGCGCTTCTTCTTCTTGCCCTCGGCCGAGGTGGTGGTGGTGGTCTGCTCGGTGCTGGTCGGCTGTTGATCCAGATCTTTCTTGAGGTGTCCCCGGCCGCACTTGCAGGCGCAGGCCTTGTAGGCCAGGTCGTAGCCCTTCTTGGTCCAGAGGTTCTGCTGGCGCTGGCGCTCGGACCAGCTGCGCGCCCTGCCGCAACTTTTCAGGTAAACGAGGAGCGTCTGCTCCCAGGCGTCGAAGCACTCGCGGTGCATGAATTGGCCGGCCGTGCAGGCGTCGTTGCTACAACTGACCTTGATGTAGTCCTGCTGGTCGGACTGATGGAGGCTCCCGGGGGCGCAGATGAACGCGTCGCCGCGCAGGCACTCGCTCGGCGTGCAGCACTGGCCCAGCATCGCTGAGCCGAGTACGTGCGACAAGCCGAGGCTCTCGAGAGTATCGAGCTGACGTTGTTGCAACTGATGATGTTGATGGTGATGATGCTGCTGCTGCTGCTGCTGTTGCTGCTCGCGTTGACTGAGCTGCTGCTGAAAAGCAGTGGTTACCTCGAGGAGGCCGGCCCCGTGGCCACTGCCATGCTTCCGCGGCGCCATTTGGCTTCCTTTTTTCTTTTTTTTCTTTTTTTTTGTTATATTTTTTTGTCAAACTCTGCTGTTGTTGGTGCAGGTCTAACTGCAGGTCGTCTGCTGCTCTCTCTCGCGACGTGCCACTGCTGCTGATGGATTAGTGGACGCGCGTACACGAGACCCGATCGAGGTGTTGGTCGACAGCAGATCATGCGAGCCGGCTGACTACCCTGGGAACTCGGGCAGGTGAGCTTGAGGTGACATACGCGAACGGCATCTCTCGCGGACTGCTCAGCGGTTACTGAAGAAAACACAAAGAGCCGGCAACCGGCGGCAGCCTAGTAGCATAGGTATATACATATACATACGCAGCGGCGGCAGCAGCGGTGACGGCCAACGGCGCGCCCCTCGCCTCGCGCGCGCCCTCTCTCTCTCTCTCGTGCTCCGGCCGGTGCCCGGTGCTCCGTTTTGTAGTATATATATATATGTATGTATTCAGTTTGTGCCATGCGATGCGTGCAGTATAATGTGTGTAAGTAGCAGACGCCGCTGCTGCTGGTGTATAGCGACGCGAGGGGAAGAGAGAGAGAGAGAGTATACACATATGTATATGTGTGTACACAGAATCGGGGGTTGAGGGGAGAGAGAGCGTGAAAGTGAGACGTGAGATCCCATTGGGTGAAAGGGAAAGCGCGAGTGGTGGGGTGGAAGCTGCGGCGGCGGCGACGGCGGCAATCGATGCTTCCCTGTCTGCTTCTTCACTCCGCGGGCGCTCTGAAGTCTCTGAACCCTCATCACCCTCCTCTCCACTCCTCGCTCTCGTGCAGCATGCCGCGCCCCATGAAGCTTTGTCGGAGTGAAGTTCGATTGGTCTGGGACCCATGTTTAAGTATATAGGTGTAATATTGTAGCTGCTTCCACCTGGGGCCGGGACGTTGCGTTTGGCGTCGTTGAATAAGTACCTACGTAGAGTTTACGGATTGTTGGCAATTTGTACGCAACGTCGGTCTGAATTTATAACCTATTAGGGATAGGGTCGACTGATAACGAAAACGCACGATCCCAGGTCGTGAACTCAAACTAGCAACTAAGTATACAGGTATCCCAAACGTGTTAATGGTGAGCTTAACAACATTTTTTATGAGCTGTTTGACACTTAGGTATCTAAATACTTACAACCTAATTTGACATTTTTTTGCAGGATACCAACCTCCTGCAGTTTGGATTTTACCGTGGTTTTTTGTGACTACAAGACGTTGATGTCCCTTGAGGTTGGTCCTATTCCCTTTTTTTTCTCTTTTTTCAACTTAACCATAAAAATCACATTGATTGATGAAACTGCAACTATAGGTGAAACACAAATGCTACCTAGCGTTTCCTCAGTAATGTTCTTGCATATTGCACGATGCCGGAAAACATGCACGGCATGTAAATTTTCAAATATAAGTACACAACATACTTATTTGCGCGCGTTAGCGAAGGAAGTGAGAGACGAAGGAGGCGTGCGAGCAGGGCTGGGTTTATAGAGCTCTCGGAGCCATGGGTCCCTGGCGCAATAAATTTAGCACAAGGTCAATCTCGCGCCCGCCACCGCTGTATACAACTCGGCATACATATATAACCATTTGCATGGGATGCCGCGCTATGTGATCGAGGCTTCGAGTCGCTGCGACATGCGACTTGCCCTCAGGTTGTTTTTTATACACCTACTCCTTTCACAGTAAGTTTTCATCTCGGATTCGGTTGGTCGTTAAAATGCTTGTGTATAAACGTTAAAGAGTCTTATTTTTGCCAATTCAATTGTTTCGACGATACGTTGACGTATATAATCATTCTCACAGTGTTATGACCACCAAAGCGATGAATGAATATTGTGCTTTTTAAAAAGACAAAAATTCTACATTCATCATTTCTTAAAAATGGGTATGTTAAAACATACTTGTGTATACAAACTTTATGAGCTTTGGTGAAAACGTGAAATACGTGTAAGCTTCGATAACGTCTTTTTTTTTATTTATCAGCAGATCGCGTAAATCCTTGCGTTTGAAGATTAAAAGTGAGAAAGAGAGCAACATTCACCGTACAGCGTCGATGCATTTTTTTTTTTATTCGATCATGCATAATGCATTTCGCACACATCATAGCACTCGATTATCACTTGTCACGGTTGCGCTCGCAAGCGATAAGAAACACACAAGAAGGGGGGAGCTTGCAGCTGGAATTATGAAATCTTTCACGCGTCACGTCAGGTAAACGAGCTCAGGATGTTGGGGGGAAAAAAAAAAAAAAAAAAAATCAGTGACCCTAAGTGCTCGTTAACGTCCCAACCGCACGGTGAATAATAATTTATCAGTCCGTATGTGGCTGTTATCGCGGCTTTTAGCCAACACAACGCTTGTCCACGTTCTACAGACACGGCGAATCTTACGGTGTCTGTATTTACCCTCCTCTTGTAAGGTAAAACTGTTTGTTCACTCCTTTCATTTTTAATGGTGCACGTATATGTACGTAGTCGCCCAGTTCGCGATTTTTGGGTCTGTACATAATAATTACATGAACGATTGGACAATGCTCTTTTACTCAAACTAATTATCATGATAGTGTTGAGTACGTTTCGTTATGTGTGTAAAATAATATTAAAATCCACATGAGGCGTAGCATCGTTATAGGTAATACAAGATAGGTATATAGTAGCGGTTTGCGCAGTGCGCCCGACAACAACCACCACGTCGCCGTTGGCCCAGTGGCGCAGGTTTCGCCAAGGGGGTGGCGATGGGAGGAAGTCGGATGGGCGCAGCTCCGAAGGTTGGGGGCGCCGCTCTGACCGTGATGGGGGTGGGGGTGGAAATCGAGGGTGTAGGTCTAGGTTCCGCGTTGCGGGAGCCCCAACCCTCTCTCTCTCTCTATTTCCTTTCGCCTTTGGCCTTTCGCAGCCGCAGCAGCCCGTACAGCGTTGGCTGCACAGTGGGCGTGTCGCAACTTTCCATTTCACCGGCGCCGCGCATGCCCAGCTCGGCTTTGCCTCCCGCCCTCCCTCGTATATAGTTTTTCACTGCTCCTTCGCGTTCCCCAACTATATACTCTCGGCTCCTCTTCACCCACACATGCACATTCCACTCCCTTTGTACGACTGCCTATGTCGTACCTACAAAAGACCAAGGGAAAGCTCCCCCTCGCTCTCGTCGTTGTGGAGCAACGGAAGACTGCCAAGGTGTGTATCTTGCCCCGAAAAGAGGGAAACCGGGCAACGCAAATCATGGCCTGGAAAGCTTCGGGGCCCTTCCCCTTCGTTCACAACCATTTTTCAGCTCGTCGTTTCCTCTTGCCCAGGCCGATCGAGCGAACTTTCGTCCATGTATACCTACGTGCGCGTCGCTTAACCAGCCAGTGTATCTACGTACATTCCTTTCTCTTTTCTCCGGCTGTTGTAAGTGCATAACACTGTGTAACATTAATAGCAGGAGCTGTGGAAAAGCCAAAGAAACCTCTCATTTTGTTTTTGAAAAAAAAATATTTTTTTTTATTTTTTTATTTCTTTGNTCCTCATCGGGCTAAGTGCACGGACGCGTACGTGTAAGGGGTTTTTTTTATTTTTTTTTTTTTATTTCTTTGATGCACATGTTGTAGAAATACGCTGGAGAAACTTTGCATCTCATTTTTGGAGTTGTCAATGATATCTTCTACGAGTAAGCAATGGTGTATGGAATGATTTGTTCAATTGGGAGGAAAAACAAGTAGAAGATATAAATACGAGATTGTCACCTTTTTTTTTCACAAAGGCTTCGATAATGGTATACTCAATGAAAATCTCGAGAGCAACGAATTATCGCGTATGTGCGGGTATACAGTGTATAGGTGCAACACCGCGATAGACAAACGTCGAGTTAAATTCGAAATTTATTGGAAAAGAAAAATTATACATGCATCGAACATTGCAGCGACCAAGTATATACCTATACGTGTATTTGTATGGTAGAAAAGTTAAATTTAAACATGAACTTTTGGCTAGAGTTCGTCTTTTACCTAAGAATTTTCATAGCCCGTCCGATAGGTCTTTGGCCTCTGTCGGATGTTCAGGAAAAGTGGATGGCGCGAAATTTATATCAACCAAGTTTTTCCAATGCATTATTCAACGCGATCCTTGAGGTTGCGTCCATCGCAACTTATGAAGATGTAAACGATAAATACATGTGACTCGCTCTCATCATAATGTTGTACACAGATATATTTATATAGAGTACCGTATTTATAAAAAACAAAGTCAACAGCCTTTAGATAAGATGCGTTTGTTAGTTAGAAAAAAAAAAAAAAAAGAAAGATGACTACAACAGCTATGCGCGTTGCATAACAAAAGTCGGCGTGGTTCTTTCTGGCACGGGCTGCGCCTGTGTTGCGAGTATACCTATATATGTAGCCTTACCGGCTCGCTTGCCGGCATCACCTCTTACTAGGCACTGGGTGTACTATACGTGCAGCTGTTGGCTATTCATAGAGCGCGCGCACACCGACGTGCAATTGCATAAAACTCGATTGGATGCATTGACCCCCGCCGTATATGCTTTATATATACATACACCCGTTTGAAAACGATAAACGAATGAATGCCCTCTGCTATACATATATATATATACATGTGCCTATATGCGTATACGTTAGAAAATACATTATTTACCCAGTCCGAGCACGTATAGTATCTCTCGTGTGGCGTCACCAGTGCCAATGTTATAAACTGTATACTGGAAACTGGAAATGAACGCTCGTTGGTTAACAACAAATAAATTTGGAATAATCGTACATTGCATTGTGACAAAAAAAAAAAAAAAATCTAAAATATTTGGAATGGTAAAGTTGAAGATAAAACTTGATGGGTCAAAAGAATTTTCAATTTTTAACAAAAAAAAAAAAAAAAAAATGCACAGGTACTTGTAAAATAATTTTTTCTTCTATATCAATAATATACATACATTCAATATACATAATTTAAAAGAAAAGTGTACTCTTTACTCTACTTGCAAATTTGGTCTATATGACTCCGGTGGTATCGCAGTCTCGGAGTTAATCGTATGACAAACGAATAATTCACGCACGCCTTTGATATATACGTTGCATGGATGAAAATAACAACTTGTTGTGAGCACGCGCTCGCTATCTGCACCAGTTGAGTGGCGATGAAAAAAAAAAAAAAAAAAAAAAAAAAAAAAGGAAAAAAAGGAAGGTTCCGTTGAATGATGGCCTAAACTGGCCAAGTACGAGAAGATACTTATATTATTACACGC